ACTGTATAGTGGACACAGAGTTCGTGTCGGAGATTTTGGACCAAAATGCAATTTTGGTGCTTCATTGGAAAACTGTTCTGGTCTCTCATCTTTCATCAATTGACACTTTGATTCTCATTTTTTTTATTTCTTCAGTTGGGTCCTAAAAATTACAATTTTTAATTTTTTTTATTTGCTTTTTATTAACTACTTTGATTTATATTTTTAAGAACATGTTGTTAAACCAAAATGATGAGAGAGATCAATAGCGGTAAATTTTTTATATTAAAATATGATTTCATTAATTTAATTTATTTTTTAGATTTTATTTACATTTATTTAAAAAATTTATAATTGTTGCATACTTTAATTTTACATAATTAATGTTTCGATGAGATGAAGGGACATTATCAGTGTCAGAGACTTAGCTCACTTTCATCTCTTTAATCAATTCTCATATTATTTTTCCTCAACTTTTTTTTTACCTTTATTACCTAACATGCACAATTTTAATGGGATTAAAGTGAAATAGGATTGGAAAAGAAAATACAATTTCGGTTTTTTTTTTTTTTTTAAGTTTTGGGAATAGGAATACAATTTTGGGTTTTTTTTTTTTAAAAAAAAACATTTTCCTTCAGCTATAACTATTGTGGGGGTTATTGGTAAAGGGGCTTATGGCACCTGAATCCGTTGTCATCAATCGACCCTCCTTCATTTCTGGATCCAAGTGTTCCTCTTTCGTGCAACACAATCAAAATTTGAAATGCTCAATAAAATTTTCATCCAAAAGTAATCACTTCCCATGTCGTGTAGTCTCCAGTTGTTTCAATCGGTCCATTTTTGGTGGAATTTACAGTTTGAGACTGCGGAGACATGGCATTGTTGGCGGTAGAGCTCATCTGAGATCGTTAAGTGAAGAAAACAATGATCTGGGTGGTGACCAAGGTGAGGTTTTAGGTCTGAATTTGAAGTCTCTGAAGATTTTGTTGAAGCAAGGAGTCTTTATTTGGGCAATGCTTTGTTGTCTTCTGTTTTTTGCGTGCAAGAGAGTGCTTGCGGCGGAGGGATTGGTGAATGTAGAGTACGGAGTGATTAAGGTTTCTTTGATTCTTAAGATTTTCAAAGAGCAAGGTGTGATTCGGATTGCACTTTTAGGTCTATCTGCATTCTTCTCAATGGCAGAGACTTCTATAACTACACTGTGGCCATGAAAGATTTGCTTTCTTTGTTTGAAGATTGATGGTTCTTATAATTAGTGAATAGAAATTGAAATCTGAATTTTAGTACGGAAACACCAAAAAAGTTAAATATATGAAGTTGAAGAGCATTCACAGTTATTGATGGTGAATGTTTCAGTAACTTTTATGGTTTAGGTAAATATATGAAGTTTGTGGTTGTTGTGCAATGGCATTTGCTGACTTAAATATTGGGTTAAGTTTAGCAAAGATTAATCTGATTTACTATTTCAAATCTTGATTGTGAAGTTCATGCAGCAGTATTACTGTTGTCTTGTTTGGTTTGGAGGATGATGCTAGTTTCTTATATGATCATGTGGTTCATATCAACTCATGGAAGAACAAGATTTTTTTTTTTTTTTTAATGTCACCAAGCCATCGGGAAACTATGGTCTTATTGGTGATTTGATGCTAATTTGTGTTAGGTTCTGGTTGAAAAACAGTCTGAAGATGGTGTATTTTGAATGCTTCACAGTGATGTAACATAGTTTTTTACCACCATGCTTATTGGCACTACGTACTAGTCTTTCCCATCATCACTTAACTGATCCAGTTCTGTGTGTCTATGTTTGACTTTCGTGTGTGATTTATTTTTAGATGCCATTTTTGTCACTAGGGTGGTCAATATTGGAACAATTGCTTTAGTTACAGACACAGCAACGACAATATTCGGAGAAGCTGGTGTTAGTGAAACAACTGGAATAGTGACTGTATGTATATAAGAATTCTATCCTCTTTATGTGCCCCACATACCCAACCTCCTTGCCTGCCTCTATTCGTGCTTGTATGTAGCTCATTGTGAATTTGTAGTAAATTAGAGTAAAAGGCTTAAATTTGTTTCAGGATAAATCTCTTTAAGTTAGCTCTTGAGTTGTAGAGTTCGCTGTTACAAAGTTTTGTACTTCCTTTGTAAACAATAAAATAAGAATGAATAAGAAATCATGTTGGATAACTCTAATAAACTGCAGAATAATCAAAAGGTGGGTGGTGTGGTTATTTGTCATTCTTTTTCCTTTTTCCCTCTACCTCTATGACAATGTGAAGGTGGTAAAGGTAAATGAGCTGGATCTTTTGTGACCATAATGTCTTTGAGTTCGAGATTTGGTGTATTAGGTGGCTCTAGGACTTTCTATGACATAGATACCTGCATTTCAACTCTTGCACGCTGGTCATTCTTTATTTTGTTTGTTTTATTTTATTTTTTGATATTGTGTGTATCCAAACCTTTGGGCACCGATGATTCTTTTTATAATAGATGAATTTGCATATGTTTCTCTCTTTATATTATTGGTAAAGGTGTTGATATTTTACTAGAAAATCAAAACTATGTCTTGTATATCGTACATGATAGGCTTAACTTATTTCCTTCAAGGGAGGTCTTGTATATCGTACATGACAGGCTTAGCTTATTTCCTTCAAGGGGGGTTTTCCATTTTTACCCCTTTTTTTTCCCTTTCTCTGTTTTTTTCTTCAACTCACTTATGAAATTGTTAATCTGAAGCTATCCTATAGAGCGACGACAAATAATCTTGGATCTTCTTAATACTTTTTGTTTCCTTTTCTCCTAAATGAATTTGTTTCCGGTCTACATGTGTTTCTGCACACTGAAAGGCATAGCTCCTTTGTTAAATAAAGAAGAAAAAAATGAATTTCTTTTTGCCATTGCTATTTTGAGTATTAGGTGATATGTTAAACCTAGGTATGCCTGGGTGATTATTGTAGATATTTTGTTTACATGCAATGGAAAAGCTTGCCTCTTTCAAAAAAAAAAAAACAAAAAAAAAAGTGAACATAAAAGATAGAAAGAATTCATAACCATTGAATTTTTCTGAATGATCCTAGGTTGCTATTTTCCATCTTACTGATATCACTCCAAAAAGTATAGCTGTTCACAATCCCAAAGAGGTGGCTGGATTTGTGGTAAGTTTTCCATTTAAGTTTCCAATTTCTTCTTGAACATATATGCAACTAAAACTTTGCTAAAAAACTCTAACTTTCTCTTTAAAACTCCATGGTCTATGTTGCTATTTAATTCTTTTCTACTTAGCTGATGATTGCTAGCAAACTAAAATTATTTGGCTAACGTCATTTGATGTGTCATAAGGTCAGGCTAGTGGCATGGCTTTCCTTGATACTACATCTAGTGGGAAGAATTGTTACTTATTTATTAATGGGGATAAGGAAATCATATCCTCCATTTCGTCTATTGCATTTCTTGTTTCTAGTTGTTTGTTAGTGTAAGTTTGTATTGACTGCTTTATGAATGCTTTGCATGTTTTCTCTTTAAATTAGTGAACCTTATGTTACTAAAGATGAATTAAAGCTGATGCTACGTGGGGCAAAGTTGAGCGGAGCAACAGAGGAGGAAGAGCATGTAGTGAAATAAGCTAATTTTTCTCTATTGTACCTGCTTGAGTGTCTCTTTTGTTGCAAATAAGAATTAGAAAAATTCTTTTACTGAGATGAAATTGATCGGTATCATCTATGCTTGACTCTGGTTGCGCATTTACAGTAGAGCATATCTTTTTCTTGCCATATATTTCTCTACCAATTTCTGTTTAAATAGTCAGATTCTAGAGGAAATCCAATTTAATTTTTTTGCCAACAGGTGCCTATCTGTTTGTTTATAGTCCAGATGCTCTAATTTTATGAATTCCTTGCAGGATATTATTGAAACTGTATTAGAAATAAAGGATACTCATGTTAGAGAGGTCATGACACCCCTTTGTTGATGTGGTTGCAATTGATGCGAGTGCAACTCTTGTTGATTTTCACCATCCATGGGTGACTCACCAATATTCAAGGTAGGGAATTGGTAATTCATCTCTAAGGCTTTATCTCCTTCAAGAAACTTGTTAAAAGATTTCTGTTTACAGGGTACCTGTTTTTGAGCAGCGTGTTGAAAATATAGTTGGCATTGCATATGCAATGGATGTAGTTGATTTTGCTCGGAAGGTCAGGCAATTTGTTCCTTTGATACACCTTTTTTTCCATCATTAGATCTTTTCTTATCAATTATATGCAACAGTGTCAGTATCATAGCATGCAGATTTGCAATCACTTTGATTTTTATTTCTTTTTTTGGGAACTAGTGAAGGGTGAGCAACTTGAAAGTTCTACTATGGGAGACATGGCTCACAAACCTGCCTACTTTGTGCCTGGTAACCCTTGACTTTTTTCTCTAGTTGATATTTTAATGATGTTCTTTGGGTTGAGACTTTCTAGCTTTTCATGACACTATCCATTGGTTGATTGAGGTGGTTGCATAGTTTTTTTTCTTTTTTTTTTCTTTTTTAATTGCTATTACCCCATTTTCACACCTTATTTTCCACATTTTATGTGAAGATGTCATTTCTTTTCTAATTTTTGTAATTAATGGAAGTGCAGAAGACCCTGTTTCATTAGACTTATTTGCTGTTTTAGTAGTTATTGTCTAGGGGAAAAGAAAATGGAAAAAATAGAATGCTTCAACTATCTATACGGTAAAATTTAGAAAGTTGGTTTTGCATATTCAATTTCAGTTTAGAATCTTCTTAGAGTGTTTCTGATGAAGAAGGTTCACATGGCTGTTGTTATTAATGAATATGGTGGAACTGTTGAGGTCTGTGCAAAGCCTTTTATTGAATCTTTACCTAAGCAGAATCATCCATTGTGTTGAGGTTTTTTGTTATGATAAAGTGCCAACTTCTACCATTTTCTATATTTTTATTTTGTGCCGCATGTCAACTTATGCTAACTTGTAATATCTTGAAACAGTAAGGGATAACATTTGTGATATTTTCAACTTTGTCCTAGAGTCAGATGCTGACCATGCTTTCCCTGCTAAGAGGCTAAAAAAGTAAACAAAATTTTTTCAGTTGGAGCTAGAAGTCCTAAAGACAAAACCTTATTCTTTATTAGCGTGTTCTTTGTGCCCACTTAAAGTAGTATTTGTTCATTGTTTGTTGGCATCCAAATGCCATAACATAAACTCAATGGAACGTATGATGGTAAAAGGTCAACCAGGATAATAAGCTGACAGCTTAAAATCTAAAATGGTTAGTATGACCCCTCAATACGTTAACTCATGAGCTTGCACCTAGTATTAGTATGTTACTCAAATTTTACAACTTCCAAACTTTGGCACGTAACATTTATTTCAGGTTCAACATTGTAAACGAAACAAATAGGAGTTCCCTGTAGATGAAACTCAAATACTCTCTCATATGTTTTGAAATCATTTTTCTTCTAAAGTTCAGATAAAAGTGGAATATGCAGCATGAGAACACAAAAAGTCTAGAACTTACGATGCATGGGTTTTCTCTCTTTTGGATTGCTTATTTAACAGTATTTGTGCTCATTTTATTGACTAATTAACTATCAAAGAAAACCATTTTATGGTGAGGAGAGAAAAGAAGAATAATCTACCAAAGCCAAGCCCTTCTTTCTCTCTGTACATGTTCTGTTTTGTCTTGGAGCTTTTGGATGGAAATGGCATGGAAGATGAAAGTTAAGACATTAGATTGGATCCGTGGTTGTTGGGGGAGTGAAATTTGAAATGCAACATGTACCCTAAATCTAGAGATAGATATCTATTACCCAAAAAAGAAAAAAAAAAAACCTTATGAATTTAGGATAAACGTTTATCTAAATTCTAATTAAGTACAATCAATACTAAGAGATTTGTCTTCAAATATGTACCATTCATTGAATTTGCTGAATGATTTTATCAAATCACATTTGAATCCATAGGTTAACATATGCAATTAAGTACGGAAAATAATTTGAGAAAATAACTCTTAAAAAATAATAAATGAGAGGATGATAAAGAATTTTTGATATATCAAATTTAAAAGTTTTTTTTTATATTGATTTTTACAATTAAGTCTTAATATCCCTCTTAATAAAAGAAAATGGATTAAAAAGTTTGATTTTTTTTCTTTCAAACGTAGTTGTTCATAATAATATAAAGAAGGCAAAAAAAAAAAAAGAACTTAAATTATACCAAACAATAAAAATAAAATAGTGATCATTAGATAAAAAGGGTAATTAATATCATAATTTAGTACAATTTAAATTGCATAATATTTTTTAAA